GCGTACTTGTCTCAAACAAGTGGGAGATTGAAGGAATTATGTCTTCGATAAGTGCAGTTACTAGATATAACAAGGATCACTATTATGGAGATTATAAGTTCATTCTTTTGAATAGTCATTTTCTGTTGGCTGTTGCTAGATATGATAAATGATCCTTGGGCTAGTCAAATAGTCCAATAGCCCAAATGGATCCTATGAGGTCACACAACAAGGGTATTTGGTTAAACAAGTAAGAGGCCCATTAATGGGCCTCATGAGATTATAACTTACTATGAAGACTATTGGGCTAAAGGAGTTTAATTATGATTAGGATTTTAGGCTTGACATGAACTCTTATTTAGAGATGTGATCTATAAATAAAGTCCATGATTTGGGTTGACACAAGACACAATTAACAGTCCGTGAACTGTGAAACAACGCAACCAGTTTTCCCAAAACCCTATACTCCCTTTTCTCTCTCTTCCTCACGGCCCTCCCCTCTCCCCCTCACGTTCGTACGGTCTGCCCCCTCGATGGTGGCTCATGGTGTTCGTTGTGGTGGTTCGTGGTTAGTTTGTTTCTCTTCTCCGTAGAAGGTTGATTGAAGGGTTCAATCACAACTAACTAGCATTAGTGGAGATTTAATTTGTGCCCGTTGACTAAGTAGAGGAATCAGGCTTGGGGTTCTTTATCTTCCATTGTTCTTGCTCGATCACACGTGGAATCACACTTCAAAGGTACAATTATACACTACTAGAAAAAAAAAGCAAATTATGACGGACTGGTTCCGACGTACCCAATATTCCGTCAGAAAAAGCGAAAATTCCGACGGATTTATGTTCAGTCGAATATTTCCAACGAATTCAACAATTTTGTCGGAAATGCATCGGAAATTTCCGACGGTCGAAATATATGTACTTTCCGACAGAATTTTCCATCGGAATTTACAATTTCCGACGGATTTATAGTTCGTCAGAAATTTCCGATGGAATTTTCCATCGGAATGTAATTAAAATAAATTAAAATCATTTTTCCTAAACCCTAAAATGCAACCCCTTCCCCCTTTCTCTCTTATTTCCGCCTCTTTTCCTCTCTCTTATCTGTTTCTGCTCTCTCTCCCCTCTTCGCCTTCGTTCTACCTCTTCTCCTTCGTTCTCCCCTCTTCTCTCCTCCTTCTCTTTCCTTTCTTCTTCTCTTCACCGCCCTTTCTCTCTCCTTCGTTTCTTTTCTCTTCATCTAAATCAAAAACTAGCAACAACAACGATACAACTCCAACAACAACATCAAGCTCCGTCAACCACCACCAACATCAACCACAACAGCGGCACAACACCAACAACAACGCGCATCAACAGAAAACCCAACAACAACCGTTGCAAGCTACCCACCCTCAAGGTCTTTTTTTTTTTGTAGATCTTGTTTTAATTTAGGATAGATTTGTAGATCTAGTTAATTTTATATGTAATTGTGATGATAGATTGTAAATTTATTAAATAATTGTATATTTATATATTTAATTTAATTTTTTTTGGTTAATTATCGTTTTATTTAATGAAATTTTGATTAAATATGTAGGTCTACTGATTTTGAGTTTTTGTGTGGTAATTTTTTATTTTGTTGTGTAAATTTTCGTTTTTTGGGCTAATTTTCGTTTTTTAGGGTTAGATTTCAGTTTTTTTGGGACTTTTCATTTTTTTTTGGCTTAGTTTTGGCTGTGGTGGTGTCGGTGGTGGTGTATGGTGGTGGGATAGGGTCGTGGTGGTGTCGATGGTGGTGTATGGTTGTGGGATAGTGTTGGTGGTGGTGGTGGTGTATGGGTGTGTTGGGTCGGTGTGCAGTGGGGTCTGGATGGGGGGGCTGGTGGTGTGGGGTGCGTGGTTGCTGGTGGTGTGGGGTGGTGGTAGGCTTTTTTTTTTAAAGAATTTTTCGACGGAATTTATGTCGCAAAATTCCGGCGGATTACATTCAGTCAGAAATTTCCGACGGATTTTCTTGGGCCTGAAAATCGTTGCTGACAGATTGAATTCCGTTGGAATAGTGTTTCCGACGGAAAGTCCATCGAAAAAGGTTTTTTTTTCCTTCAACATGGTTTGCGACAACTAGTTTCGAGACGGAAAATTCCGTCGTTATTTGCCTGTTTTCTAGTAGTGATATGTTCTTTATGTGTTATACATTAAATTTGGTGTTTAGATGCTTATTAATATGATTCATGTAATTCCTCTTAGAGTATCTAAAGTCCTACAAATAGACGAAAGTGTAGGAATACTTAAGGGAGAAATGCGAAAGACTAGGATTGTTTAGAGCTTAGAAGAGGGATTAAAAAATAGTGCATGTTACCCTAAAAAGGCTACGGTATTTATAGAGTGAGCACTGGTAAAGATAGACTATGCCAAGAAAACAGCACGCCACAATGCACTTATGGCGCAACATGATACAAATGTCGTGTCATGCCCCAACAATGGATACAACACGTCACATTGCAGCGTGCTGCGCTACACTCTCGATTTTTGCAGTTTTTATTTTGATCAGACACTACTAGAAAACAGGGAAATAACGACGGACTACTTCCGATGGACCAATTATTCCGTCGGAAATATCGAATTTTTCGACGGATTTTAATTCCGTCGGATATTTCCGACTAATTCTAAAAATCCGTCGGAAATCCGTCGGAAATTTTCGACGGAATATAAATCCGTCGTAATATATGGGCTTTTCGACGGATATTTCCGTAGGAAATTACTTTTTCCGACGGATTTTTAGTCCGTCGGAAATTTCCGTCGGAATTTATTTATTTTTTTTTAAAAAAAAATCAACCCTAGAAACCCTAACACTCCTCTCTTTTCCGCCTCTTCTCCTCCTTATCTTTCCTCTTCTCTCTCCTCCCCTTCTCTTTCGTTCTCACTCATCCTCTCTCTGAATCTCACTCCCCTTCTCTCTGAATCTCACTCCCCTTCTCTTTCGTTCTCACTCGTCCTCTCTCTGAATCTCACTCTCTCTGAATCTCACTCGTTCTCCTTCTTTCGATCTCTGAATCTCACTCGTTCTCCTTCTATATCTCTCCTCTACTCTACTTTCCCCTCAAATCTCCCACCATAGCCAACACTAACCACTGACATCAACAACGAACAACGAACAACACCAACATCAACAACACCATCGCCGGAATCAACATCAACAACAATATTCATCTTTTTCGCCCTTACTCTCTCTCTTCATGCTTAAAACAAAGGTTTTTGGGTCAAATTCGACCATGAAAACTCTAGATTTAGAGTTTTTATGGTCGAATTTGGCCTCTTAAACCCAATTTCGAGGTTATGTGTGGTCTAATTAAGGTATGTATTTTGTTTTTTTCAATTTTGATTTTATTTTGTTGTTTATTGGAATTTTTTTTACAATTTATGGTGGTGGTTGTTGGATGGAGATCGTGTTTGTGGGTTGCGTTCGGATTTTAATTTTTTTTTTATTTTTTTGTTAATTTCTGGGTTGTGATGATTTTTGGTGGTGGCGGTGGTGATTTTAGGTGGGTGGTGGGGTGGTAAATATGGTTAGGTGGTTGTGGCGATGGTGGTTGTAGGTGGGTAGTGGGGTGGTGGATCTGGTGTAGGTGGCTGGTGGGTAAGGTTCTGGTGTGGGTGGTGATACGGTTGGTGGGGTTGGGTGTGGGTTAGGTGACTTGGTGAGTTGCTGGTTGTGTGAGGTGAGGGTAGGTGGTGTGGGGTGACGGCTTACGGTGGTACAGCGTGGCGGTGGCCTTTTTTTTTTGTTTTTTTAAAGCATTTTCCGACGGAAATTCCGTCGGGCATTTACGACGGAATTCACTTCCGTCGGGCATTTACGACGAAATTCACTTCCGTCGGAATTTTCCGAGGGACTTTGCCGGGCTTGAAAATGCTCTCGGCGGACTGAAATCCATCGGAAATTCCGTCGGAAAAGGGTGTTTTTCCGACAACAACTTTTCCGACAACCGGTTACGACGGAATTCCGTCGGAAATGGGTTTTCCGACGGAAAACAAGGTGTTTTCGACGAAAAATTTCCGTCGCAATTAACTTGTTTTCTAGTAGTGAGAAAATTTGATCCCTAATTCGAATCAAGAAAATTAATATATCGTTGAAAAGGTAGAGTTGTCAATTCGGGTAAACAGGTTGAGTTTAAGTCAAGTAAGTGTGGGTCGAGTCAACTCGAGTCGGGTCATTTCGGGTTAATGTCGTAACCTATGCGGGTCGGGTTCGAGTAGGGTCATGCTGGAGTCGGATCACGTCAGGGCATACATCTTATCGGGTTTGGGTCAGGTTAATAACAGGTCGGGTTACATTCAGGTCGGGTTACATTTGGGTCGGGTGAATAATATATCGGGTTTAATTCGGGTTTTCATGGGTTAAAACGGGTTAGGGTTATTCTCAAGTTCGAGTTGAATCCGGTTTAAGTCAATAATTTGCGAGTTATAATCAGGTCGGGTCATTCTCGGGTTTAAGTTGGGTTTGATTTGGTTCAACTCAATAATTTCGAGTTATATTCAGGTTGGGCCATTCTTGGGTTCAAGTCGGGTTCGGTTCAAGTCAATAATTTGCGGGTTCGATTCAAGTAAAGACAAAATACTTTCAATATTTACATAGGGTAGTTTTAGCCTTACAAAGTTATGACTTTACAAGTATATTACAATATAAATAACATATATCTTTATTTAGATAGACAATATCTACAATAATAAAGATGTATAAAATAATAAGTCAAGTTGATTTCGGGCCGGGTCAATAACAATTCGTGTTGATTTCAGGTTGGGTTTGTAACAAATCAGGTTGATCAATTTCGAGTCAGGTCAGTAATAAGTCGGGTTAAATTCGGGTCAGGTTAGGAACATGTCGGGTTGAATTTAGGTCGGGTTAAATTCGGGTTTTGATGGGTTAAAACGGTTTTGGGTAAATTTCGGATTAGGTCAGGTTCGGTTCAGGTTAATAATTTACGTGTTATATTTGGGTCGGGTCATCTCCAAGTCAGTTTATGTTCGGGTTCGGGTCTCAAATGCTTAAGTAAACGGGTCTAGGGTTGGTTTCAGGTCGGGTCAAAATCGGGTTCAAGTCATCATTTTTCCTGATTCAGACGGATCGGTTAATAATTAGGTTCGGGTTGATATTTCGAATCGGATCAGCTTTTGACAGCTCTACTCCATAACGTCCACAGTCCACACTAAAAAAATTCATCGATTGCACTACGTGCGAACCAAACAACGTTGTCAAAATCATCTTAGAACGAATATTCTGTAGATTACTCAAATCAATATTCAAATTCTTCCTCCAATTATACATCAATGGAGTTCTCAAACTCTGCACATCCCCTTCACCTCTTCCTATTTACAGTAGACCAAAATTCTGCACAATGCATTTCCAGTTCAAATCATTGTTATGGGTCCTCAATTTATTTATGGTCTGTTTTGCTGCAATGGAAGCAATGCCCACTACTTTGGAAGGCCCTTTCGACCCCAAAACTCGTCGTTTTGATCCGTCTTTGCGGCGAGGTAGCACTGATTTGCCATTGGATGATCCAAGAATAAGGAGAAATGTAACTGGGAGTTTTCCTGAACAAATTTCACTTGCACTTTCTTCACCTTCTTCAATGTGGGTCTCTTGGGTTACTGGTATATACTCTTTCTTTGTTATTTTTTTCGAGACGGGATTTGATTTCAGGTCTTGAGTCGAGACATAACTGCTTTTCTATTAGTTTGATCACTTGATGAATGTTGTTGCTGTTGTGATTGTAATAGGTGAAGCTCAAATTGGTAAGAATGTAACAGAATTAGACCCATCAAGTGTTGGAAGTGAAGTTTGGTGTGGAAAAGGTAGTGGGAATTATACTACTAAGAAAAGTGGGGTTTCTATGGTTTACAGCCAGTTGTACCCTTTTGAAGGTCTGTTAAATTATACTTCAGGAATCATTCATCATGTTAGACTTGAAGGTATGAATTCAACTGTTTTTTATAATTTGCTTGAGTTGTTTGTAATTGTAATTAAGTTTTATCTATTTGTTTGTGTGGTTTGTCCTTTGAATGAATCTTTCAGTTTGTTTGTCAAATGAAATTGGTGCATAAAATCTACTTTTTTGTGTGTAGTAGTAATTAATGGATTATCTGTCTTGGTTCATCAGCTAATAGATTTTGATAGGTAAAGTTTCTGATTTTTATGGGTTACTGCTAAAATAGACCAGCTCCTTTGAGGGCTGGTTTTACTCTAGAAATATGTTGTGTTGTTCAATGAGGTTGTGAAGTTCCATCTTCTCTTATTTCCCGGTCTTTAGCTGAATACTAATGTCAGTAACAACTAAAGCTTGTCAAATATCAAAATGTATCTGTTGAATAACATAATAACATAATTGGTCAAGTTCATTTGTTTGCAATAGAATATTATTCCACGTCCTTGCGATTTGCAGGATATAATTCCCCTTCTGTCTTTCACCAAATCATATTTACATATTTATTAATAGCAGTTTATTTTTGATATCGTTGGAATCTGTAGTCATACATGTTCTCATATTTTATATTCATAATTATATGCTTCAGGCAATAAGGCCTATGAGCCGTCAAAAAGAATTCTTTACTTCTCTTAATACTTGATTAATTCTATATTACAGTAGTCTTCAGTTATGTGTTTAAGGGCCTGCAGTGGCTCCATCAATCATTTAGAACTAACTGGTAACTACACAGCAAAAGTGCCATTTAAGTATTAATGAAGTTAACTGCAACTTGCTGCATTATTTTTGAGTATATAGATAGGTCCTGTGTTTTTTAAACTATTAGGGACACTATCAGATCAAAGTCTGCGAGTAAGATATGTTGAGCATTTTGATGTCGAGGATCAGTCGGTCATACTTGAAATCCGCAAGGGATCAAGGTTTTAAAAGCTTGTAAAAAACATGGCAAGGTGGTTAGGAAGTCTGTGAAATGAAAGTGCTGGAAGGAGGCTAACAGCACATTTATACCCCAACTACAATGCCCAAATTTATGGGGATTTACTAGTCGATACCCTTTTCGACCCCCTTTTCTGGGCTTGGTACTCCTCTTTCCAATTCAATTTGCAGAAGCCTACTGTGTCCTTCTCAAATTAGGGGTGAGTGAGGTCAACATATTAACTAGCTACTTGAGATTTGTTCGGTCAAAACGTTGTCTAAGCTTGTCTTGAATGAGCTTGACTGATCATATCAAGTCCAACAATGTTAACTTGGTTAGTTGGACTTGAAAAGTTTTTGAGCAAGCCTGAGTATAAGAATTTAGTAAAGTAATGACTCATAAGTAGCATTATAGATCTCACATAATACTTCGAAAACCTCAAGTGCTAGCAAAATTAAGAAATTGCTATATTAGTTTGGTTGCCTTAGTTTGTTTTACTCGAGGTCGAGTCAATTGATGGGCTAAATGAGAAACGTTCCAAGAGTTAACTCAAGAATGAGGGTCTGTAGAATTTTAAAAAGTTCACCTACTCAAGTTGAATTTCTTCCTATCAAATTGTAAGCCTTAGAATTGCGCCTAGCTCTGATTTCTCGTCCTTGCAAAAATTAGTCTTAATTATAGTAAGTAAGCTTAACTCAGGTAAGCTAGCGAGTGGACTTGTATGACTCTTTAATCTTTGATGGTTAATAGATACTTTGGCATATCAATCAGAAACCAGTCATTGAATGTTACGAGAATAGTCATTAAAGTTTTGGTAGAGGCAAAATTTAATCAGCTTGGTTAATGTTTCCCACAGAATTAGATTCTTATCCACACCCAAAAATGTATGCTTTTGAAAGGAACCTTAATGGTTTGTGAAAAGAAACCTTTGTGAAAAGAAACCAAATTTGGACCATTAAGCTCTTCACTTGAAAATATCATGCTGATGGTTGTATTTCATCTTTTGGTTATTTATTTGAAATTTAACAGCATATATTTGAGAAGTCATGCCCCTTAGGTTAGTCATGGTGATGGCTGAAAAAAAGGGTATAAACAAGATTTTTGGTTTGGGTGAGAAGGATATGATGGTAAGTATCAATACAAATATACAACAGCATGATATCTCTGTTACTTGTAGCTAACTAAGCTAAAAAAAATAAAAAATAAAAAATTAAAAAAAAAAAAGAAAAAGAAAAGAAAAGAAAAAAAAGGGTGACTAGAGTTCAATCAAAAGCTTGATTTAAGTGTAAGTTGTTCGACAAAAAATGGAGGAAGAAAATGTATAATCCTTTACTATTTTGGCTTCGTGTCTTGAGATTCATGAAGATGTCAGCCAACCTTTTGAACATATACCATGTCATGATTTTCTTCATGTTAGACACAGTTGATAGAGAGCATCAAAGGAGCTCTAAATTGTCATCAATAAGTACATTTAAATTCCATAGAGACTTGAATCTCTCATGTCGAATGTTGATTTTTATCAAATATATAAATAATTATGTGGTTGAGGTTACAGATGGAGCTCCCATGTTTCAGTAATAGCACTTAAAGGGTGAAAAAGAAAATTAGGTTTATGTATTCCTCCGGTCCCCAAATAATAGTTCTATTTCAACCAACAATCTTGTTCCTAAATACATGTCCCATTTCACCTTTATTTTTCTTAAATTATTTTTAAAAATGCGTGTAAAGCTATTGCATCTACCAAGGGGATGGAAGTATTTGAGGTTTAATAAATGTGTTAGTCTTTAGTTCTGGTCATCTAGAATGACACTTATTAAAGTTAATGAGTAAAGAACTTTGTATCAAATATTCTAGAGACTTTCTGCCTGATATAGATGAGCATGGTGTTTGTGAGCTTGGGGATGGTGTGTCTTGTAAGTGAGACTTGTTCTTAGTGTCAAAAGTTGTTCATTATTTAAAATAGCCGTGTTTATTTGGTCAGATTTGTGCTTGGATTCTGTTATAATTGGGTTGCTTTGGTAAAACGTTTAACCCAATGAAACTAATCATATGCTTCTAGGGAAATATCGTATATATTGTAGCAATTTGTGAATTTAAAGTGGCTATGATGTCATGCTTCTTAAGTGCTTGATAGGTAGATTGCTAACAGGGAATTTGAGCTTAAGTTTATTGCCTTTTGCTACTAACTTACAATTTACGTATACTGCCGTGGGAATTGGATGCATGATGGTTTTGGGAAGCCCTTTGTAATCAATGTTCGTGCTGAATCCCAAATTGCAACATCATTCCTTCACCCACAAAGCATCCTGATGTCTAAATTTTCAGTAATAAATGTTTAAATGTGATAAACTTTTGTCAAGCATTTGATGAGTTACGACTAGCATTTCTTTATCTGTTGACGTAGAGAGGGGTGGCGAGTTAGGATATGACCTGAAGTTTTTAGATAACACCCTAATAAGACTTTACCAAATGAGTTCCCTCATATCCGCAATGAGTAGTATCAGCAAGCACCAAGGAGCTTTGAGTGCACTTGTAATGGATTCAAGCAACAACAATCATACACAGTTAATTATAGAAATTTAGAAGGGAAAGATTGCAGCTTTCATTCATAAGCAATGGGTTTTTACAAAGTTAGGTTTAGCCTATCACTCTCCAACAGTGAGTTTAGCTCACAACTCTCCAAGAATTTCACTCAAAACATTGCCTGCCTCAATCTTCTCCTTCCTTTCTTATATATACAACCTACTCAAGCAAAAGTGACCTAATTTGGCTGCTCAATTTGTCTTGGCTGCTTAATTTGTCTCATTCTCCAGCTGTACTGTCTCACCCTCTCCTGAGCCACTGAATGCTGCTGCCATAGTGTTGTTGTGTGCACCTGCCATAGTGGACCATTCCCCATAGTGGGTCTGCTTTGTCCTGTTCTGGCATGCATATGTGAGGACCACTGGAGGTTTGTCCTCTACTGATTCATGTTTTTCTACCATTTTCTGGGTAATGTGATCCTTTAGGATCCAGGGTAATAGCCTTTGTTGTAGTTATCTAGAGAAAAAATAAATTTAAAAACAAATTAACAAACAAACAAACAAACAAATTAACTTTGCAAACTTTAAACATCACTGAACACTGGTTTATTTAAACTTATTTCTAATGTGCCTGCAGTTCTTTGCTTGTGGTATTGAGTCTATCGTCTTAGCATGTGGCATATATGGGAGCAAGGAGCATCACTTTTCGGCGGGCCACACTCACATTATGTGAAGAGCAAAATTTTCTTGAGTAGTACATAATAATCAATAATGAGTAAGGTAAAGGGTGGAGTTCTTGAACTTAAAATTTTTGATGGAAGCTATCTGTCTACTTCCTCTGTCCAATGCACCATTTTCTGCTTTGGGGTGTCCTTAAAATTATGCTCTGATCCCATTTATGGCCCATGGTCCCAATACTTTACTTGATCATCAAAAACATACGCTTCCACTACTTTTTCTGTTTTTCATCAACTCCATTAACCTTAGATATACATGTATAGAAGAGACAGAGATAAGAAAGTAAGGGTAGAAGAAATCTAGAGTTGGTTTAAGGAAATGGGGATTAGAGGAGAGATAGGAATAGCTCCTCTCCCCCCCACCCCCTCCCCTCCATTTCCCTCCAATTCTAAGGAGGGAGATATAACGGGAGGGATAAAAATCATGTACGGAAAGACAATCTTATCCTTAATGAAAAGGTAAGAAATGGAAGAGAATGTTAGAGTAATAGTAATTTTGCTACTTATTCTACTACTATCTCCTACCCATAGTCCCCTACCATGCATGGGAAAATACTCGTGAGTGTTCTATCTGCCTTTTCAAGTACTTATCTACTTATTTGAACTTATCAAAACTTATCATAATTTGTTATAGTTGTAAATTAAACTTGGGTAACCCTTTATTAACCGTTATCCGAACTTATATGAACTTATTGAAATTTATTTTTCTTGAACTTATTTGAAATTTTGAAAATATATATCCCGAGCATATTGTATTTGAACTTATTTTCCTTGGAATAAGTGAAAATAAGGTGAATAAAACATGGCCTTATCTCGCCCCGTTCCCTGTTAGCTATTTTCTCAAATACCTTGTTACTGTTATTGTGCCTTATTAGCTAGGAGAGTCGAGTTTTAGCTTGCAAAGCTCAAATTGTTCCATTTGCTTAATAAAAAAAAAAATTATATTTTCATCGCCACCTCCTTTGTCCTTTCATATTTCTTGGTTTGTGTAATAAATGGAAACGATGCAGCCAAGGTTTGGTCTCAAGCACTTTGTATTAGACCCTTTGGAAACTTTTACTAAGCTATTTGACCGCTGATCCATGCTTGTTTGGTGCATGTTATTTGGCTGCTGTTCCATTCTTTTGGTACTTATTATCTGGCCGAAGTTCCTAGCTTGTTTTATGCATGTTATTTCTAGGGTTCCATGCTACATTGTAATTAGTGAATGGGGCCTGCGATCTTTATATGGATCATTATATCCAATGAAGTGTTTAATTGAAGAGTGATTCTTATTTCTTTCTAGTGTATGCCTTTTACATCCCAACTATGACTACTCTAGAAATCAAAAGGCCGATTCTTGGCATTTTCAGATATTGTCATACATCATATCACTGTTGTGTTTAAATAGATCAAACTTGGACCCTTTGGGCTCTTCATGTTTAAGTATGAAAACATTTTATGGATGAAATCTCACATTCCACCAATTTAAGCATACTAGCTTAGGGATCTCCCTTTATTTCTTACTAGCTTATAAACAATTTTATTAAAGTACGACTTCATTTAATTAGTTTTTGTAAGATGCTTCACTTGATTGTTTCAATGGTAATCCTCCAAATACTCTCAATGTGGCAATGACTCTCTAGTTTTATTTCATTTTATTTCGTCTTATTCTCTTGTGGGGCAAATAAGTTAGATCTTGAGCTGTAAGCTTGCTGTATTTCTGTATGTTGTAGGTCTTGAACCTGGAACAAGATATTATTACAAGTGTGGGGATAGTTCCATCCCTGCAATGAGTGAAGAGCATACCTTCGAAACTCTTCCTTTACCTGGACCTAATGCTTATCCTCGACGTATTGCTTTCATTGGAGATTTGGGTCTGACTCATAATTCTACAACAACTATTGATCATGTTACTGAGAATGATCCGTCACTAGTACTGATGGTTGGTGACTTGGCTTATGCAAATCAGTATCGTACAACAGGTGGGGAAGGAGCTTCATGCTTTTCCTGTGCATTCCCTGATGCACCCATTAGAGAGTCATATCAACCAAGGTGGGATGGTTGGGGAAGGTAATTTTTTTTTTTTTTTTTTTTTTTGAAACATAATTCTTTTTCTTGGTTCTCTTTTGTTTTTTGTTTTTTGGCAACACCTTATCATTGTTCCACCTTGTCAAATTGACTATTGAAAACATTTTTTTTTAAAAAAAATTGTGACTTTAAAGAAGCGCTGGAGTTCTTTTGATTTTATGTTTTTACTGTATGTTGCATATTATATCGTAAGTACTAAAGGCTTTGAGAAAATTGTACCCATGATGACCATGACTATCCATTTTAGAGGAATATACAGAGGATTGATTCCAGTTAGGTAACTAAGGATCAAATTCTCATTTTCCCAGAATTCTTGGTGCTCTATACTGTAGACTGCAGAAATTACAATGTAGAAATTACATGTGAGCAGTATCACTCTGGCTTTTTCCTTAAGGATAAAAACCCACAAGCATATCATATACTAGATCATTTGAGAATTTGGCATACATTTACACTTTAAATATATAGCTCCTATGACTATGTCTCACGAGCAATATCACTGTTGGCTTGAGCTTCTAAATAAAAAGAGGGAAACTTTACTCTTTACTACCTATAACTCTATTAGCTGAGTGATTGCGGAACATCTATTCCCATACATATGCTCAACACAATTAATTTTTCTGAAGAAGAATGTAAAACTAAAGTACTAAACCACGGGTGGTCACTTTAATCTTGCTCTGTTAGTAAAGTATGGCATGTGCAAGCTACCATCCATAATCAATCTTCCATGTAAAGCAAGGCAAATGATGCACACAAAAAAAAAAAAAAAAAAAAAAAATCCCTTAAAGCTGGTTTTATGCACCTGATAGCCGCTTCATCAACCTATCAGCCATGGCCAATCTTTCTTTTTAGGCAGGCAAGTCAAAGGATGACAATTCCCTTAGGTCTTGGTATATTAATTTTATGCACTAGATTTTTCTAAGTTCAATTCTAGAAGTTTCTCTCATTTCGGTCAAATTAACCTTCTTTTAATGTTGTGGTTTCCTGCAAGGGCTGCAACCAAATTACTCCAACCACCTAATTCATTAATTTCTTGAGCTTTTTCCAAAAACAAGCAGCATGTATTAGTTCTATAAATTTCTTGAGCTTTATGCAATTGCTAGAGACATATATATATATTTTTTAATACTACAAACTAAAACTACTCTTTAGTTTACTAGCAATTTTCATCATATTCCCAGGTGTAATTTTACACCCTCTCATATTTTTCTCATTACAAGCTTATGTGATCTAGCACATAGGGAGGAGAATGTGAGAGGGTGTAATGTTACACCTAGGTATAGGATGGATACCTTGCTCTTTACCTTGTTGACGTGGCTGGATATATGAACAAATGTGATCCAACATGCAAATGTTATGCACAATTGGTTGTGGATCACCATTTGTGTTCATCCAACTGTAATGTCAACTTTAAGATGAGTCATATGTACTATCCATGTTTGTTAGAATGCAATTAGAATATTAGAATCTTACAATACTACAATCCCAATACTATCCAGACGATTTGATTCTATTTAGAATCTTAAATGTGCAGAATCTTAGCGACTCATTGGGCTGTCATTTGAAGCATCAGGGTATTAATACGATATTATTATTCTATGATCTAAAGTTTCGACCCTAAAATGACAACTTTATTGACAAAATTGTTTTAACATGTTATTGTTTTGTAATTTGTTTTATAAGACTGTTAATGTGTTAGAATTTTTGTCGTCACAAACTTTCACATTAATCCTGAAAACCAAGTGATGTTACAATATATTTAGTGCTTGATTCATAGAGTTATAGGATTTCTTTTTAGCAAACTTCAAATATGGTCAGTTATTAGAGCCATTACTATTATACAATAGTTTTATCAAATTTTAGCTAATGTGTAGTATCATGAAGCCATGGTTTTAGATCTCTAGCGGTGATCACAATAATGGAGAACCATTTTTGTTGGCAGTGCAGATAGTTTGCAGTTGTTGCGGTCTAATATTGCGATCATTGTAAGCTTAATAAGCTATACAATATAGTTGCAATGTGGCAATGCTACTATGTTAGCAGTTCCATCTATCCAAAGTGAAATCCTGATTCTGACAACTTTGGTAGTGCCATAATCATTAATCAGTTGGTGTCTGGTTTCTGCTTTTGTGGGAAAGTCTGCCTGATGATAAATTTTTCTCTTGAAAATGCTAATTGTTGATACCAGGGGCCATGTTGATTTTATTCTTGTGAAAGCTATACATTGTGTGCAAAACTTCCATGGACTTTCAATTTGTTTTCTTTTCATATCGTGTATATATTATTCTAGCACCGCTTCTTATATCTTAGGTAATGTTATTGATAATATGTGTGAGAGCAGCCCGAACTTTTTCTTCCAGAGAAGTACAAAAAAGTAATTTAACAACTTAACCTTGAGATAAACCTAAATGAGTTTCTTATAAACGTGGGTAATACAAGTAAAAACATGAAAATTTATGTGCTAGTTCCCAACTTTGGCAATACCACCAGCTGATACAGTTTCCATCCAATACCATATTAAATAGAATCAGAACTTTTCCATCAAATGCTTGTTAGCATTTGACTATAAGATTTTTGTTTTCTGAATGATATGCTAAAAGTGTCATATTTTTTATGAACTTTCGTTTTAAGGACTATGATTTTGAAACTTTGAATCTAGGTTCATGGAGCCTCTAATCTCCAAAGTCCCAATGATGGTTATTGAAGGCAATCATGAGATTGAGCCTCAAGCTGCTGGGGTAACATTTAAATCGTATCTCACAAGGTTTGCTGTTCCTTCAGAGGAGAGTGGCTCGGAATCTAATTTTTACTACTCTTTTGACGCTGGAGGTATTCATGTCATTATGTTGGGAGCTTATGTCGATTATGATAGGACGAGTGAGTTTTAGCTATTTCATAATTGTATTCTCCTTGCCTGTCCAACTGCTCTTTTATCTATACAACTTTTGGCTCTTTATTTGAATTATCAGTGGTAGGTATTGGTTTGATAGTTGACCAGTCATACTCTTCACTTTCGTTATAGGTGCTCAGTATGCTTGGCTAGTGAAGGACCTTGAAAAAGTCAACCGGGATGTAACTCCTTGGCTGGTTGCTGCATGGCATTCTCCTTGGTATAATAGCTATTCGTCGCACTATCAGGAATTTGAGTGCATGAGACAAGAATTGGAAGCACTCCTCTACCAGTATAAAGTTGACATTGTCTTTTCCGGTCATGTAAGTTGGCAAAGCAGCTTTCCTTAGAAGTAAGAAAGTACAAATAGTTGATGATTTATAAGGAATATTGAAGTCTTTGTCTGAAATTAGAAACTTGTTTGATATTAGTGATGCATGCAAATTAGTTTGCATATTTAGCTCTTTATTTTCACAAGACCAACAGTCCCTTAATGTATATCCTTTATCCACATGAACCTACTATGCACAACTTTAGTTTAGCATTTTGGTGTCTTTAATCTTTAATAAGATGCCATAAGTACCATAATAGGCTCAGTAAGTATCCACATAATTTTTTTTTTAATGATTTGACCTAAATATCGTGTTTTTCTCCCTTAAACATGTGTCATGTCTACTGTACTACTTTAAGGTAACTACCTGTCTACCTTCACTGGTATTTTGTAAGCTTCTGATTGAGTGAGATGAAAGCAAGAACTATAGATAATTTTAACGGAACATGACGTACTAATTTATGTACTGGCTAACTTGGGAAGACATCAAGCAACATCAGGAAACAAATTTAGTACAAAATACAAAGTTTTAACTATTGACATCCTAACTAAATTTCGTATAATCAGGTTCATGCATATGAGCGGATGAATCGTGTTTATAATTACACATTGGATCCATGTGGTCCTGTTTACATAACAGTTGGAGATGGAGGGAATATCGAGAAAGTTGATGTCGATCACGCTGATGACTCAGGGAAGTGCCCAAAGCCCAGTGACAACGTACCTGAAATTGGTCCAGTGTGCCATTTAAATTTTTCTTCAGGTCCTGCAAAGGGAAAATTTTGCTGGGATACACAGCCTGAGTGGAGTGCATTCAGGGAGAGTAGTTTCGGACACGGAATACTTGAGGTGAGTCTGCATGTAAATTAAGAAATCTCTTTGACTAGAATGGAATTTACTGGCTTGAAATCTAACCTGGTACAAATGAACTCTTCCTTATTTATGCGTAGCTGCTGCATGGTTTCTCATTCGACAGAATAGTCTTTGCCAATGACTTTCTGTAGGAATATTTATTTTCTGATTAGTTAAACTAAACTATATCATTATCTGATGCAGGTCTTGAATACTACGCATGCATTATGGACTTGGCACAGGAATCAGGATGTGTTCAGGGATGATGTACGAGGTGATCAAATATATATTGTCCGACAGCCAGAGTCCTGCAACCCCATTGGACAAGTAATTCTTTAAGGCGAGGCTCATTCTTTGTATAAAACAAATGGCTATCTTGCCTATCAATTTATTTGTGTTAACTATTCACCATTTTTTTGGAATATGGAAGCATTTGTGACTTGTGAAGGCCCTTGACACTGTGTCCTTTTTCTCTGTCCTTTGGGACTGTTATATCCATTATTACCTGAATCAGGTCATTTTTTCTTTATTATTTTACATTATGCAAGATTTCGTCGAATAATATACGTAGTATATGAAGTGATTTAAGGATCTTAGACTTGAGCTGCTAAACCATATCACTGTCAATAAGTGTAAGATTATTTTGTTCTTTGAGTTATTTATTTTATTTATTTTTTTTTTTAATTTTTTTTACCATGAGAACTATATAAATAAAAGCAAATTACAACCTCAGGAAACTAAAAAAAACAACACACACACAAAACAACAAAAGAAATCTATGAGTACTGAAGCTGAAGCAGTGCACTGAATCAAACCCACATACACACCTTGCCACTTATCACTGGAGAACCGAAGTGAATGATAAAACCACCTAAACACACACAAACTAAGGGGCCGTTTGGTTGGGGTTAATAATCAAAGGGAAAGGGAATGAAGATGGCTCATTCCCTTTGTTGTTGTTTGTTTGCCATTTTTTTCATTCCCTTTACCCATTTTCATTTTTGAGTTTACCCAAAATCCTTCTATATTGATTCCCCACCCCCCCTAGACTTTGGGATTCCCATTCCCCAGCCACCACTACACCACCAACTGCTACCTTACCCAGTCACGCCCACCGCCAAGGCACCTCGCCGGAACTCGTCCACCTCCCCCTCCCCTCGCCGAAACGCGTCGCACCTCCCCCTTGTCGGAATCCGTTGCGCCTCCCCCTCCCCTAGTCGGAATCCGTTGCGCCTCCCCCTCCCCTCGCCGAAACTCTAGAAAATCATCCTCCCACCCAAGTCAGCCACGCAAACCCAACCGATCTGCCGCCCAAGATTCCGACACGCAAACCCAGCCACATAAACCCAAACAAGCCAGCAAAATCGAGCGGCGAGGGGGTGGGGGAGATGCAAAATCGAGCGGCGATGGTGGGAAGATGCGAAATCGGGCAGCGAGGGGGTGGGGAGATGCGAAATTGAGCGACGAGTGGTGGGGGAGGTACAATATCTGGCGACAGTGGGTGGGGGAGGTGTGATATGGGGCGGCGAGGGGTGGGAAGATGCGAAAATGGGCGGCGAGGGGGTGGGGGAGGTGCGAAATTGGGCGGCGAGGGTCAGTGAGGTGGTGGCTGGTGGAATGGCTGGGGAAGAGGGGTTGTGTGGTGGTGGTGGTGGTGGACTGGTGGTGATTCCTTTGTTTTGTAAAACAAACAACATACTACGTAGAAAGGGTTTCATTCCATTCCCTTTGTTCATTCCATTCTCATTACCTCGTGCGAACCAAACGGCCCCTAACTGTAGTCATTTGTTTGAATTTGATTAACTAGGCATTACTTGTAAAAGGTGCACACATAAGTGGGGCTTTTGTAAATATTTAACGACATCTTGTAGATAAATCTTAAGCTAATATATAAACTTGGATTTCGTAGCATGCCACAAGACGAAATTTGACATTCTAATATTTCTCCAAATATCGTGTCACACAACCTCATGTGACACAAATAACATTTATCACCTCAACTATGATGCCATCTAAACTAAGAGTTTTATTTAGGAAAAATTGTAAATAACCACCCCTTAAATCACCAAAAATTGATTTTACCACCTATTTTTTTCTTTATTTTAAATAACCACCTCTAAAAGTGAAAAACATTAGAAATCAACATCTTTTAGCATTGGTCCGATCATGTTTTCAACTAATTATAAGCTAATTTTTGAAGGTTCTTCTTCCTTCTTTAGTGTACTTTAATTTCTCCACTTTTTGTCCTAGTTGAATTAAATTTGGCTAAAAGTGGTGATTTTTAATTTTTTTTTCACTTTTAGAGGTGGTTACTTATAATAAAGAAAAAAAGGGTGGTAAAATCAATTTTTGGGTGATTTGAGGGGTGGTTATTTACAATTTTTTCTTTTATTTAAGCTAAATTCTAGCCTTTTTTTTCAAGAAATTTATTTATGAATAAAAAACTAAATAATCACAATATGAAAGGCATCACTTATGAAGGGTGCATTATAATTTTGTAACTCTTTTTTAGATCCATAGGTTTTTTTAAAGGAGACAAATAAAAAATAATACTACCTCCGTTAAGAGAATCTCTCAATTTTTAATAAGGAGCGTGCTTGAGGACTCTAATAACCAACAATACTAGCAACTCTAGGTTGGTATCGTTATATAATATTGTTGATATTTTTTATGATACCAATGAACTCGTTGTTGGTATTCTTTTAGATACCGACAAATCCTTGGTTGATATTCTTTTTTAATTTTATACCAACGAACACTTTTTATAACACTAGTTAAAATAAGAAAAATTTGTAAATTACCACCGAAATAAGAAACCTGTTTTGAAATTACCACCCATTTAAATTTTTATTTTAGTTTACCACCCCTTAAATTAAAAAGTACTCAGATTTTCACCTTTTTCATAAATCCGATGGTTTTTCAGTCAATGGCGCCCACCTAACTTATTTCCCTCCTTTTTTTTCTTCTTTTCTCTCGATTTCACCCTCTCACTATTCTACTGCACTCAACTAAACACTTCCCTCTTTCAATTTTTTCATTAAATCACTAAAAAATTATCTATCTTCTCTAATTTCTGAAAATCATCTATCATTAAGAACCCTAACTCATGAAATCCCCCAATTCCCCCAATCAATTTGTGCAAAAAAAACCCTAATTCATGAATTCCCCTAATTTTTTCCATTAATTTGTGCAAAAAAAAACCCTAATTCATGAAATCCCCCAATTTCCCCAAATTAATTTGTGCGAAGAATCCTAATTCATGAAATCCCCCAATTTCCCCTAATTAATTTGTGCGAAGAACCCTAATTCATGAAATCCCCCGATTTCCTCTAATTACAATGTGTGTAGAACCCTAATTTTGAAATAGAATCAAGGATACCTGATTGCAAATTGAGCGTCTACACGTGTGGCAGATTCGTCTTCAAATACAAGTTAGCAAAATTTGGGAGAATTTGGGGTAGAAACAACAAATTGAGTCTAAGGAAATGAGTTATAGAAAAAAATCGGGGGTGGGGGAGGGGGGGGGGGGAGGAAATAGTAATGAAGGCTCAATATAGCCGTTATATGCGTCCTAGTGACGGAAAGTTCATCTGATTTAAAAAAGGTGGGAATATGAGTACTTTTTTTAATTTAAGGGGTGGTAAAATAAAATAAAATAAAAATTTAAACGGGTGGTAATTTCAAAACAGGTTTACTTTTTGGGTGGTAATTTACAAATTTTCCTTAAAATAATATTATAATCAACTAATGTTCACTTACTTTTTGATTAATGACTTATAACAGTACTAGTAATCTCTGCTCTACTACTCATATATCATAAGAAATTAACATTCAAGTTTAATAGCCTACCATGCTTTTGACCAAAACTGAACTTGGTCGACAACGGATAACCAAGGTTTCGGCTTTACCAAGGTAGAAGCTAGCCTCAACCATGTCTTCCATAGATTAGGCACATCACATATATAATTCGTTTCCAACCTTACACGTAGTCTCTAATTAATCAATCTCTATTGTGTTTATGATGGAACTCTTAATTAAATAGATTTATAGCTCATTTGAAATATAAAGTTTGAGAAGATAACGTTCCCTTCTAAAAGAAACTTTTAATGAATTTATACAGAATTACAACACACATATATTTCAACACTCTAACTAAAAGCTTAAACAGACATGACAAGAGCTAACGTTTTTCTGTACTTCAAGAAAGATGGATAACCAATATTTCATTTAAAAAAACATGACATGAAACTCTCTTCAAGCCTGCCTCTCTCTTGTTTCCTACAATCCTTTATATAGAAAAAGATTCACACACCTTATCAACACTATATGGTGTCTTATGACTTAGCAACGACTATGAGTCACTCCTTTTACAAAGATACATTTACAAAGTTAACGCTAACAATTTTTAAAACATGGCTACAATATTAAAATAATCTCTTTTTGCTTTTTGTGGGGCTTAATCTTCCATTGTCTCATCAATCATCATCTCTGGTAGGTCGCCTTCGTTATCATTGCTTTCTTCATAGTAAACATACATGGGGTTTTTGAAGTTCCCTAAGAGTTCTTGGACACATTTGTCTACATATGACTCATCTTATGTTACAAAGATGTGTTCATTCCCTTCTAAGGCTAGAAACTTTCTAGCTTCAACTTCTTCAAGATAATTAATTTAAGGACTGATTCACCATTGGCTGCTCCTTCTAAATGAATTTTAACAATTATGGAACAGCTACGGTGTATTTCCTACATGCATTATGGATTGGGGTTCTTCTAATATTTCCAAGAACTTATATTGAGACATTAAGAAAAATAAAAAATAAAAAAAAATCCATATGCTCTTGCTTCAGTAGGATCTCTTGCTCATTTTTGCGCGCTGGAGATAAATTTGATCTTTGACCTTTCGATGAACATCTTTAAATGTGATTAAGTAATATGGAGAACTAACCCTTTCTTCAACTACTTCAATGATTGCACATCTCCTTTGTATCTAGTTGTTTCAATAATTCTTCTGAAACCATATTTTATTTGGAATTTGCGAGTTTTCAAAAGAATATCATATTACTATCAAGAAATGGTGCAATGCTAGGAACTATTTCATAATTCCAAGCTCTATAGTATTCTACAATATATGTTGCTCCCCGTTTGAGAGTATGCATGTGGATACAATTGCCAAATAAAAATTTTGTGTTGAAGATTATCCTACTACCCCATAGATCAAAAACATCATATAATTTGTAAGATCTTGATACCACTATATTGTACCAAAATTTAAAGTCGTTATCTCTTACTTCGTTTTTTTATTTATTTAGTATTATCCTAAATATCTAGCTGGAACGAGTCACAATATTATAACCACAACTTCATAATTAAGGAACCTTCGTACTGCTATGTGACAATGTGACAATTTTTTATTAAGTCATCTCTAAATCTCTTTTTTATAATAGGAAAATGATAAACATATCCCTTAGGGCTATGTATAAGAAGCTTAAAAAGGAAATATTAAGGTTAAAGTAACATTAGTTATACCGATGTGTACGTGATTTTGTCATGAATTCCCAACTTATTTCCATTTTAGAAAGTATATTTAATGCTTATTGTTTAGGGTAAAAATACCGCCTACATGTAGTCCAATCCCGTAGTGACACGTGGCCTAATCAAAGGGTGACACATATCCCTATGGGAAGATGGCGCTTGTCAAGCTCAAAAGGAGCACCTAAAATAAGAGAAAAGGGCCTCCTTAAATCATGAAGCCCAAATCTCGAGAAAGCCGCAAAACGACGCTGACCCCTAGACACTTGTCGATACTTGATTGCGCCGCCAATCAAATCGTGTCATTCTAGGGTAATAACCCTAAAAGGGCACAATTCCCCACCCCTATAAATACCCCAATAATTTATGATAGGAGGGGTGGATTGTGACATAACATTTAATAGAGCACAGAAAGCTCCAACTTCTCTCTACTTTCTCTCTCTAATTTATTTCGTTTTCTGATTACTTACTAGATCGTTGGAGGCAGAAATCCGATAAACCGGAGTAGTCTCATTGTCGGCGAAGCGTGACCAGTATCCCGAGGGATTCCAAAAAAACCCCGAAATATTTGGCGCCGTCTGTGGAGATACTCGTCCTTAATGGAAATAGTTGGTTAGACACCTTATGTCGGTCCTAGCCCTGGTCAGGACGGCCATGTAGAAGACATAGCTATAACAATCAATTCTAGTGATCCTCTGATCGCCTCATTCCATGAGGCCA